AAATACTCCTACTTTTCCAAATGTGGTCATTTGGGCAATGTCAAAGAGTCAGCATGGTAGCACTTTTATGATCACGGCTCCATGTATGGAACAATTTTTATAAAACCTTTATACGGCTGGTATAATTAAGTCTAAAAAGCCTTTTAAACTCTCCATGCAATCTCATAAAACCATATAATCTCGTATCCTCTCACAGCACTTTTCTGGACAGTTAATCCAACAGTCATTCTCAAGGACTCCCGCATCTATGCTAATCTGAATTCGAAGCTGGATCTCCAGCCATGCTAATGATCTCTTTGCAGGGGTTGTTGATGATGGCTTCCTTCTTATCTCTTATCTGTGCCTTCCCCTTTAAAAGCGTGCCTGGCTAATTGTGAGGGAGAGAGGATGCATACAGGGCATCCGCCCGGCTGCCTAGCGCATATCCCAAATGAAGCAGCATGAATCATTCAGATGATGGATGCTCCGGGCTCAAGCGCACGCTGCGTACAACAACAGCCTGGCATGTCGGAGATGTAATCAATCCAGCAGGAGTGCCGCCGATTATACCATCAGTGACTAATGAACGTCGCGCACAATGAGCACAAGTGAAAAGAAACAGTGGCATATCACACTGTTAGTGACAGAGAGGAAAAGAAAGAAGGAGGGGAGGAGATGAAGAGAACTGATTGGTTCAAATCCTACCCATCAGGTGAATCTTACAACCTGTTTGGCTAAAGATGGCTAATGTGGAGTGAAGTTGAGGGAGGACATATGTTATGTCCTGTATGCACTAAAGCTGTGTGTAAAAATTTGAACACCCCAAAAATTACATATTTTGTTGATTTTCCAAGTGAAAATAAGTTAACACATCCTCTACAGTGACGTCAATATAGCATTTTTCTGCAAATTTTAGTGCACAATTTTGGTAAACTTGCTTCGGTAAGACTTTAGTGTATGCTCGATAATGTGCATAATCATCTAAATTTACATATTACTATATATATATACTTAGTACGTAACTTAACATCACTATTTATTTCAATATTTGTTCCATATTTTAAAGTATAGTCTTAGCTATAGGCCAAATGAGGCTAAAAGAAAGCAGTAAAAAAAAGTCCATTTGCATCACAAATTCAATAGTAAAGGTGACTTCAACGGTTTTTGTAGCAAAAACAAACAAGCTTGAAATATTATAAGTTAGTTTCATTCCATTTTATAAACTAAACATGGAATAACTGAACACTTGTATGGAAGAGTTTTCAGTTGTGTTTTTGCAATCAAAATATCCTGAACAGGTACTGAACTTAGGATGCATCTTGACCTACTGTGCATAAAATATTGCCAATTTTACAGGAAAATAATTCATCCTCAACAATTTGGATAACAATTAAATGGTTGAGATGTAAACAAAGTAATTGAGAGGTTTTGTGAAAGGCTCCATTCTAGAAAACCCTGCAGTCAGAATTGTTCACATGGTGGTGATAGGAACCAGACATCCACCTCTAAATGCTCCCACACAGAATTGTTATTGCACTAAATAGTTAGATATATGCTGCCAGATGTCTGACATGTTTTTTTTTTGATAGTTTTGTGATAAAGTTTTCACTTAAAATGTATTTTAATCCATTCAGGGTGGAGAGATACATGCAAGGTGCTGTAAGGCAAAATAACTTTTTTTTTCAGATTTATGACTATTTTCTCATCATGAATCTTACATATAAATTTATATATGTAGGTTCACTGGTGGTTTTGTATAGAAAATAAAATGGCTATATTTGTGTTGTAGACATTGCGAAACCCTGGTTCCGATCACCACCACTGTAAAGAAATTAGAATCAGTAAGCTTCACTACAATGAACCACTTCACATCAAACCACTCTGAATGACTGTTTACATCACAAGGAATTAAATATTCAGAAATGTTGAAAAATTGGTGGAATTCTACTTTAACAATTCACAGTTTAGGCCAAGTGTGCAAAGATTTCAGCAAAATGCTTACCTAGTGTCTAAGTTTTCATTACTATTTAGCCACATTAGCCTTATAGCTCTAGTGTAAAACTAACCAAGCAAACACCAAAACATGCACTGGCTGATCAACTACAGTGGAAAATGTGTAAATTCAATTTTTGGCTGAACTATCGTTTTAAAGGTGCATTAGTAACACTTTCAATAGATGGCTGTCTATCGTATGATCACATAATGCATTGGTGACAAAAGTGTCTTCTGATTCTGTTTTCTGAGGGATCTTGGTAAAGCTGCTCTGCTCCCTACCTTTCCACCCTGAGCTAAAAGCTCAGGTTTAGCAGGTGACAGCTGTCAGATCTGCAGTCTGACATGTAAGCTGCCATTCACACTCCGAGAAGAGAGACTGATTGTGCAGTGGCCGGTCGACCAAGGAAGTAACAAGATACCAGATTAAATCTGCCCCCCGCTCTTCACCCCACTGCTACAGCAGGCTCTCAGGAAACACAGTCCTGTGCAAGGTGTCAATCATTCTCCGTGATCATTTATCCTGTCTGCTGGCAAAGAATGATACGTGTAACAGGTGCTGCTGATGGTGAGTCAGAAACAGGTGCAACTTTGCCTGAGAGTCAGTTTCTTTAACACACAGAAGGAGCCCATTTTCAAGCTAATTTCAGACCAGCATTAATGAAAGCAGAGCAGAAAAGCTCAGCCACAACATTTAGATAAAATGAGAAATGAAAGTGAGAAATGTAGGATTTTGTGTCAAACTCAGCACAGGTTCACGCAAGCTTACAGAGCTCATCTGATGGAAAAACCTAATTTTCTACTTGTTTTTGAAGTATAAGAGTTTGAAGTACATTGTACATTTTATTGAAGTTTTAAACCGTTTCACTATATAGCTCCTGGATTTAGGAAGCACTGATATGTAAGATGTTAAGTGGCCAATCAGTTACATCAAGAGCTCAGTTACTGTTCAGTTAATGGTAGCAGTAATTACAAAATCCAGGATTGGAAACTGGTTTCAAGGTCCAGATTTGAAGACCTCTGATACATGAAAACTAAGCTGTAAAATAACAACAGTCCAAAATACATTTATGTATATCCACCTACTTAGCCTATGTAAGTTTATCAAGCCCATTCACACTGAATTTATAAGGAGCAACACAGTCGCAGCACAGTACAACCAATAAGAACAAACGTCATTTACTTACAGTACTTTCTGTTATGATGATGAGGTTGGGTCTTCCCAACTTGAAACTGGTGACCTTTGGGCAGGTGTGTCCAATCCTATCCCCCAGAGGGCCACTCCAAACAAGCTGGATCACACCTGACTCCACTTGTTTAATAAGCTGGTTTTAGTCTTCCAATGTTTCATCAGGTGACCTCCTGCTTTGTTGGAATAAAAACCTGCAGCCACACCGGCCCTTTGTAGATAAGACTGGACAATCCCTGCCTTAGGGTAATGGTAGGACTGAAAAACTTCAGACATACCAATCAGGTTTTAATACAGTGCTTTTTAAAGTACTGTGCTGTATAAAAGTCAGAGATCATCCCTCGTTTATTTAATTTCCAGTTTAAAACAGCCATTAAGTACAAGTTATTACACAGAAACCTCAACAACTAAATATAATGTAAAATCTTCAGTGTTTAGTGTGTCCACTAACTGCTTCCAGCTTTTCAAAGAAATATGACCGGGATGTTTTCATATACCTCCAAAGTTCAGTTTTAGAAGCATTTCTGCTTCTCGTGATCCAAGTAATCCCAAAGAATTCAATGATGTTAAGGTCTGGACTCAGTAAGAGCTTCTTGACAGCTACACATCCTTTCGGACTTATAGTGCTGAGTTTGTCTCACAGTGGAAGGATGGACAGAAACACTTGTGGATTGTTTTCAGATCTGAAGCAGCTTGATTTTCTTCTCTCTCTCAAAAATGAAAGCTTTAAGTGCTGTTTATCTGACGGGGACAGTTTTTGGTGGTCTATCAGGTTTTCCACAGATGTAAGAAGGCCTACATTTTTTCTGCATCTATAAATAACTTATTCTACAGTTATAGAGTTTTTTTTTTTAAAAAAAACATTTTCCTTTGACTTTCCTCTGCCTTACGTAATTTCATGACTGGACATGAAATAAAAGAAAGGTGGTCTCTGAAATTTGCACAGTACTGTACAGGCTCTTTAATTCTAAGAGATAAAGAGGTGGAAAACAATTATCTAAATGATAAAAATAAGTGGAAAAAATATAAGACAAATGTAAGATACAGGCCCTTAAGGTGCCTTTAGCTCAGTGTAATTGCTGTATGTTACCCTTTCATAGTAATATGCTGCAGGATTTTTCATGTCTCTGATTACCTCCCATCACAAAGAGGATGAGAGAACACACTGAATGCCAGTGCAGTCACTGGAGGGCCCTCCTGACTTGTAGAATCCAATAAAATGGATAATACTGTTAAGACCCACACACATGTATGCTGCTGAGCGTGTGCTTAGAGTTAGTTAAGTCCATCCCTAAACCACAGCCCTGCTGAGATGCTCTATTCAAGCTGTAAGGCAGTCAGTGGCTCAGAAGAGGAGACAAGAGCAATCTATTAGTAATGTTGTTCATGAATAATGCAGGAGCTCCACGCTGGCATTTTTGCATTATCAGGGCAAAAAAATATTTGAGACATGGTTTTTGCGATATAGAGAAAAGAGCTTTCAGTGCACTTAATCCGTGTGCAATTTGCCTGAAATGCGCTGACAGCTTCACGCCTGCTGGTGTGTCATTTTAACATCCTTCAACACCATATAGCACTGGCACTACACCTTCCCACCCTGACACTGAGACAACGCTCCACTGATGCCCAGACGCCGAGGAAAATTCACAAGCGTCATCTTCAGGAGACAGGAGCGCCGGAATGGGGTGGGGGTGGGGGGGGGGCATGTTCATCCCTCCCTCCCTTACCGTTCTCCATGGAAACAAGACAACTGGCAACACCTGCCATTTGTCAAAAGCCCACCGCTGCCTTTTCTCTCCCCTCCCCGCCTCATAATTGCCACATCGAATGCATCTCTTACCATGCCAGCCCATTGAATAGGGGAAGGAGACCTCAAAAAGGTTGTCGTATTTTGTCAGGAGCCTTTTCATTATGGATGCCAGACCTGTGGAGAGAGAGAGAGAGAGAGAGAGAGAGAGAGAGAGAGAGAGAGAGAGAGAGAGAGAGAGATAAAAAGCTCAAACTGGGCTGAACTGACTTCAATTTACCTCCAATATTGCCTGGGCTTTAGCCAGCCTTGTCTCATTACCCACGCACCACACTAGACCCCAGGCTCTGCCGTCACAGGCAAAAGCTGCATTCAACCTGTCTCACAGCCAATAAACAACACCACACATACAAGCACAATCACTCTTAGCACCACACAGTAATGTATCTACGTATCACCACATAAGAAAAAACACCTCGCATGTTCAAAATAGTAACTTCAAAACAGTTTACTAAAGTTTAAAAGTGCATCACTGATACGCCCCTCAGTCTCTCCTGAGAGTCTCTCATTTGCTGCTTTCCACGTAAACCACTGACAGTTATCAAAATTAGGTGGGTGATTGGTGCATTCTATCAAAAAAAAAGTGAGCAGGACGCACAGGGCTTTGGAGTTTTTTCTGTCTTTTTCTATCATTTGTAAACTGTATTCAATACACCCACCACAAGCACTCTTAACATCACACACAGTAACATATCTACTAGACAGTTTAAAGTTACCAACACTGATAAATCATTAATGCCACTCATTTTTTTCTATAGGCACACTAGTGCCTTAGCTCTAGTAAAAAGCTTCCAAAATCTGAGACACAATTCAAAATGAACTCAAAATTTATCTTGTAAAGCACAAACTTAAGGTTTATGATATAAATATTAAGCATTTCAGCATAGAAGAAAAAAAAACTGTTTTGCTATACACTTCAAACTTTTAAGATCTCCAAATATCACTGTGGTTATCCTGGGTAGTAGGTGTCGTAAGTGACATAAAAGCTTTTATGTCGATGCTGTACTGTCTCGTCCTGCATTATTTCAAAATTGAAAATGATTAAAAAGTTTAGTTTGCTTATATGGCCATCAAATAAGTGAAAACGGGGTCTTCAAGCCATTATTTAATAAATGTTAGACCATCTATATAACAACTGCTAAATGTCAAACAGTGCTGCCAACTGAGCACTCCTGAGAGAGGAGTTGGTTAGCATTAGTTTAGCCAGCATGATAACAGCTCAGCTCACGACTGAACATGTTATATTCTGGCTAAACTAAAGCACTAATACAAGGTTAGAAGATAACAGGGTGAAGTCGAGCAACTGGCACTGAGGAAACAGAAAGGTAAAATTAAACCTGTTTCGTGACGTTTGGCTATATAGCCTGATCCGCTAACTTAATGCCAGCTAATGAGACCCAAACAGTGCCACACACAACAGCACAGGTTTAGCACAAGTTTAGCTCTGACTAGCTGTAAATAATAAAAACTAATCTGCATCAGATCACTGGTATTCGTGTGACAGAAAGCCAAAATCAAACCTGTTTTGTGGTGTTTATAACTGTACCGTTTTGGCTAAGATAATGATAGCTTAGCTATGATAGTTAAGGGGTTAAATGACACCCGTTTAGAGGATATCTGAGAGCGCAAAGTCAAGTAAAATCGCATTCTGTGGTGTGTGTAGCTCTTAGCCGTCGCTGAGCTGCTATCATGCTTCGATTTTTCTGGCTTTGAATTTTCTCCTCTTTCTATTAGCGCCACCAATCGGTGTGAGTTCCCAAACCACCAATCAGTGAGCTGCTTAAAAATGTACATGGGTGAAACATGTTTATTTGACTGCTCAGGAATGGAATATAAATTTGAAATGATTCATTTTGAAGCACTGCTGCGTACCTTATTACCATTTTAACGCCAAACCCTAATGGACATACACACGCTTAAAAACCAAGTGGTCTTTCTGAAGTCCCTTATAATCTGTAAGGACTGCATTCTTAGGCTCACTTTGTTAGAGGACTGCAGTCAAGTAAGTAATATTTGCCACCTTATAATTAAAGCTCTGTAAATCAACATTTTTAGCACATATATGTGTTAAAATGCATGTTGATATATGCAGTGATTTCAATATATGTAAATTAGCTGAACCTAAATTCAAACTGGAGTAGAATAAATGCAACAGTGTTTTCAGTAAGGAAAACACGCTGAGTTTCTGCTGTCAATAAAGTGGATTACAGGCTAGGTCAGAAGCCTCTGGTCCCAAAACAGCCTCTCACACTAGAATAATTGATTGCACAGAGAACACTTCACACTCTCTAGGATAAAGACAGACAGACACGCCTCATTACCATTCATATTATGCATGCTGTCTGTTTTATGAAATATGCATAAACACAGGCATTCATAATGACGATCACAAATGAAGGTAGGCAGAGGTACAAAAGGTAAATCTGTTTGGAGGATTCCTACTGTGAAATATGACACTGGGGAAATCATAGAGTAAAACAGTTCTTTTGATCATTCTGATAAAAAAAGAAGAGATATAACAATCACGAACAAGTAGTGTAGGCACTGGAAAGTGTAATAATGCAATTTATGCAGATTCTATTACATTAACATGTAAAGGTCCAATTAGATATTAGATTTATTTTTACCAATAACCTTCAGGCTTATTATTTAGTCATTAAACACTTATTAACCAGCACTTACTATAAATTATTTGGTAGCTACTTTGAACTAATCACTATCATATCAAAGCCTTGTCATTTCAATTTAACAGGATTTTGCACCATTTAAAAACAATCACCATTTATATTATATTAACTTATATTACTGGTTACTATACAATGTTTTGGTCTTGCTGCATTAACTCACATCAGTGCACCCATGCACCTGCTCCAACTAGTTAACTTCTTCAAATGACCTTTATTGGCTGGATCAGATGCATTAGCTTTAGGTAGGTCAAGGTGGGGGGCATGTTAGATGTTGGAAAGTACAACTCCAGGAGGACAGTTGGTGACGACTGATGTGCTAAAAAGTTAGTGTTTTCCTTCTCCTGAAAAATAACCATTTTGTAGATGTGAGTTTTTCTTCCAACAGCAATGATATGTAGATACATAACTGTGTCTGTGATGCTGAAAACAACACCTGCCATTTACACTTTGTGAACATTCAACAAAGAACAGACAAAGTAAGAAATTACTTGGAACAAAATCTCATTACATTAATATAAACTTAAGGACTTTTCCTTCTACTATAAAGTTACCATTCAGGAGATTTTAGGGGCAGATGTACTAGAAGAAGAGCTGGCACTTACGTACTGGTGGAGGCGGCCAATTTAGCAGCTTATCTGCTAAGAACGTTCTTGCAAATAAACACAGGCCCAACTTTATAATTAACATATGACCAGCACAATGTTATCACAGGTTTGGCTGATTAGGTCAAAACAGTGACTTATTTTCACTTAAAGAGTCAAAATAATGAAAGAAAGTAAATACAAAAGTAAAAGTATGTAATGATTTAAAAAAAGGCATCTTTTTATGAAAATAAGTCAACAGAAGTTCAAGAAATAATTAATAATTTTGACCTTCTGTTTCGAAACATTGTTCAATTTTGGCTGGTAGGATGAGCCGAACTTAAGTTCATACTGAGTGTATTGAGAACTTTGTAATATTGTAAGATTACGTTTAATTCCATTCCGCACATCCTGGTCTTACTGGAACTGCCTGATTTTGATCTTGTGGTCACTGTAGCCTCTTAGCTATGTGCAGTGTACACATTTCTGTAACAGTGCACACAAAGTAACAAGTAGCTTTAATAATGCAGGTATACCTGTGAACTGATGAAATATGGATGTAGGTGATGGAATTTGATAAAAACCATGAGCCAACCCTCAACCCCCAACTCTATGTCCTGAATGCTTCAATATTGCCAGTCTTTTATGTATTTATTTATTTGGTCAATCAAGTGATACAGATATTGATTATTTAACTCAGTAATAAACTCAAACTATCAGAAATCTCTGCATGTATATTAATTTGTCCTAATGCTGAACTGTGTTGTACGAGCAAGCTTGACTTAAAGCTTGTGTCATGTCAAACACCTGTGTGTCCCACGACACAACCATTTTTACAACCACCCAATGCCTTGCAAACTGCATAGATTTGATTTACGATGCATCAAACTTAAAGCTACATTCAGGCGAATTTCCTACTGCATATGTACACCTTTTAGATGCTGGCTGAGTTTGCTTAGCATCAGTTTTGATCAGGTTCTTAAATGTAAGCATGTGAAATCAGTTCTCTGCTGTTTAATGCAAGCTGACTTGTTGGTCAATAGCGCTGGACAGTGTAATTCAAATACACAGATACGTCTGGTTTGGGTTGGTACTGCAATGATACTGTGTAGCACACCAGAATTTTGTGAAAAAAGTTTTGTGAAAGTTTGTGAAAGTGAAAACTTGTGGCATTTACACAGACCGGGAGACAGTAGCAAACACAAAAAAAAAAATCAAAAAAGGCAATATCTTCATTTACCCAATGTATTAGGAAATAGCCGTTTAAAAAACTGATTTACTGAAACTGATAGTTTTTTTTGTCCCATTATAAGAGGGAGACTCCTATATATGCATATTTAATGAGGTAAAAGCACAAAAGATCAGCAACCACCGCTATCTTTTTATGACTGCTAAAGTCTTGTTTCACCATATAATATAATAATACAGGCCAAAATAGGGTTTGCGATGGCACAAAAAGTTTGTAAATCCACCTCTAGGTTTTATCACGGCAGTGGGCATATGTTATCAATGTATGAGAGTGAGAAATTAAAGCACGGGCCCACAAACCTCCATGCTAAGTTTTTACCCTTCAGTCCAACTCTCAGTAATAAGAGTAATAAAAGTCAGCAACAGTCTAGAGAGACTCAACCAACACACCTTTCTCCACATGATGTTAACAAAGCAACAATGAAAACCAAACAAGCTGCTCTGCTCTAGGCAAAACTGGCTAGTCAGTGGTCTTCTTAATTGCGGAGCTCAGAGGTGGGTTGTGCTCTGCTGCGGCTCGGTGCCACGTGTCCTGACAGTGGCTGACCCACACGCTAATTTGTCTGACGTTTATTTACATTGGGGAATTAAGACTGTCACG